AGTGCTCAAAGTAGGCAGAAAATAAATGTTTCTTTAAATTTTGAAAATAGATAAACATACCCATGAATTTTTAAAAAACGCTAAACATGAAATGAAAGTTGGAAAATACAGAAAATTTTTTGTGAAGAATTTCATTTTTGTCAGGAAATAGACTTGAATGACTTGACAAATGCCCTCTCTCAGCCTTCTTTTCCTCAAGAGAATACATCCACTCTTCTCTCCACTGAGGATCTGCCCTTCTAGTAATAGCCACGGTCAGATGCAGCTATCTGCCTTGCATTCTCAAAACATTTCGCACAAAACTCCACTTGGGAAGTAATCATGCTATACCACAGAAGCTTCTGTCCCTGTCCCTCTGGATTGTAAACTATGTTCTAGAAAGATCTCATAAACAACAAACTGAGTTGTGTGGAATTTGGTTCCTCCTTAAACTATGCAAGGAGTCTCCAATCAAATTTTTGTTTATCAAAGACCTGAATCACTAGTAGTGTGTCTCCTTCTCCTCTGGCTCTTCCACCCAACTACCACCACTCTACCTTTTCTTCTTCTTCTTCTTCTCTCTTCCTGTGGCTCTGGGGAATTATATTTCCGACCCCCAATCCTGCTAGGTCCAGGGAATCTGAACTGAAGAACACAAAGTTCCTATCTGCAAATTGCTTGCAGCCAAAGCCTTCTTTCTGTCTCCTGTATTGCACTTAGTGCCTAGCATAATATATGTGTCTCCTGTGAGAAATCTGTTTCCTGTGCCTGCTTCTGAGGTGCTGAAGAGTCCTCGAACTTGGCTTTAGAATATTTACCTTCTCCATCCACATGCTGCTTAAATTCTCATCTAAACAGTAAGCTTTAAATACCATGCCAATCACATAGTCTCAATCTCAATCTATACCTGAACTCTGTAATTATACAACCAACTTCCTTCTTGAAATCTCCTTCACGCTATTTCAGATGTCTCACACATCACACAGCAAAGCAGGGAGGGCTCTGAGCCCCCTCTCAGTCTGCCTGCAGCCAAGGTATTCTCCTTTTCTGCAGCTTTAGCTCTGTTTGAATTCTGCGGACTCATCTTCCACCACCACCCCTTTTCTGACATCCCCGTAGTTAACTACCAGAAATATTGCTGGTTGTGCACAAGCACGTATGCATGTTCATTGTCTGTGTCTTCCACAAGCACAAGATATAATTAGGCTAGAAATTTTGGCCATTGTATTAATCACACTGTCCCTGAAGCTTAACATATGATAGGTACTCAATAAAAATTGTTGAATAATTTTTTTTAATATTTCTGAAAGAAAGAACAAATGGGTACAAAGGATCTCAGCCTAGCCTTCTAGATGAGCAGACTTAGGAGAAGTATTAATTATTCTTTCATTCACAATGAGTATATTAGTCACAGTTGGGTAACTAGAACAAAATACTTGGGGAAGCAGAGTTTATAAAGAAAAGAAGTTGAGTTAAAATTATGGAGTTGCAAGCCCAACCCTGTGTGCCCCCATTGTCTGGGCTCTAACGAGGATGTGATGCCAGTGGTGAGATTGCACATCAGAGCACGTGGGCACTTAATTGGAGCAGAAAGAGAATCAGAGATAAGACCCCATGGTTCATCTGGGGGACTTGTCTCCAGGAAGGTCTATCTCCTAGGGCCAATAGCATCTCCAAATACTGCTACCCTGAGGACCTACTGCTACATCTGGACCTTAGAGGACTGCCACGCCACACCAGGGCAATGAGCCAATAAAGTCTTTCTGCTAATAATTTTAGAACCTAAGATCAAACATATAATACTTACGTAGTAAGAAAAAAGGGAAAAGTTGTTTTTAAAATTATTTCATGTCATAATGTGCTAGAAGCATTCTATCAGAGGGATGGAAGAAGTCATAAATAGATAAAACTAATTGAAGGGCTGGCCAGATAGCTCAGTGGACTAAAAAGTGCCTGCTTAGGCAGAGCACAGCAGCTGGGGTTTGATCCCCGGCTTCCCATGCTGGCCCTGCCTCTGGAACACACTGAGACAGAGATTGAGACTGGGCATGGTGGCGCGGGCCTGTAATCCCAGCACTGGAGAGACTGAAAACAGGAGGATCATTATGAGTCCGATCTATGTAGTGAGACCCTGAACTAGCATCTATACCAAATGAAAAAAAAAAAAAAAACCACCTCTAATTGAAAATTCTGATTAAATATGGAATTGGTCAAGAAATAAATGCAATTAAAAAAAAATCTTTTATTTTTTCCAGGAAAAAAGAATGAAAGAAAAATCCACGAATTGGGAAAGACACTGTATATGCTTCTTGTTCCAGGTACACAGTATTGAAGTGACAGAAGATTAAAAGAGAGGAAGTAAAACCAATCTGTGCTTCTCCTCTAGCACTGGAGCCAAAGCTGCACCATGTGTGGCACGCAGAAGACGCAAGTGCAGCAGCAAGACTTGTGGGCACTCGCTGCCCCAGATGGGGGACCCACTGCAGTGATTTCATCTCTTGATCTAGCGAAAAGTTCCTGAGAAATATTAGCCACAGAAGCGGTTCAGGATATTTGTCTGACCCTACAACACTTGTCTGAATTTCCTGTACGACCCACTTCACCAAGGAGGAAGGTTACAGACTCTTTCCTGCACTTGTAATCCTTGAAAGGAATAAGAGAATCATAATGGCACATATAGATAACATTGCCATTTTAACTTTCTATATGGAATTGTGTGTGAAACATCCACAGTCTCCCTCAGAGTGATTCAAGAGGCAGATTTAACAAAAAATGTCAACTCCTGTTACGGGGAGTGCCACACGCAAATCACAAGCTGAGAAGGAGAAAGGCAGCGCATTTCTGGAATAAAGTGAATTCTGCACACCAAAGGAAGGCTCCAAAGTCAAGAGAAAAACGTAGGAAATCAACCAGCTCAGAGGCTTACTGGTTGATTTTATACCTCACAGTTTACCTTCAAATGCAAAATGAAATTTCCTGTCTGAGTTCCTAAAGGTGAACAGAAATTAACTGATTGAGTTTTCATCTTTCAGGGGCTACAGTTCTCTGACACCTACACTATATGTATTCATCCAGGTCTTCTGAGAATCGGACACCAAGGTATGATTAAAAACAAGAAAGAAAACTTTATTTGAGGAAATGACTGTACAAAAATATAGGGAGTGAGCTGAAGGGCTGAGGGAGCCAGAAGACCGCAGTACAAGTCTGAGGCCTCCTAAGCAAGGAGACAAGCAGGAACATCAGTTCAAAGTATCCTCAAGCTTCACTGACAGCCCCCTGGTAATTAATTCAGAAGGGTCCTTGTGTCATTAGCAGCAACTCAGGATTTGCTACTTTCCAGGGCTTGTCCACTTTAGAGTCTCTCAGTCACTGGCTGGGAGGCACCTATGGGAGCTGGATTTTAACACACATGCAAGAACAGAGGCCAGAGACCAGAACCTAGGGCCCTCAGCGCAGTGTTCTCCCTGGAATTGGAGGTTTGCAAGGAGCATTTGTGCTCACGGCTGTTTGCTGCACTACAGTGCCAGGATGGCGCCAGTGCAGGATAGTAAAGACTGTATTTCCTAAGTGTGTGACAAATACTAATTCCCTGTTCCTGAGAAAGGAATTAAAAACCTCAAAGAGTTTATTAGTGATGATCAAGAAGAAAATTGTGTCCTAACTTCTGGCCCTAGAAGTTCTGTCTTTTTTTAAGAGGAAACTCATCCCGGAGCACTTAAAATTTAAACGGCATGATGCACTTGGATTCCAAGCATCACTGATAAGCTTTTGCACAAGATCCTTGAGTAAGAGGCCCACGTACTGAGACGCGATGGCAAATGCATTCATGTGGGGGGTGCTGTAATTCATTGCTAT